TGGTGCATGAAGAACAAAACCATGTCTCTTCCTGTGCAGGTGCAAGCTGCAGACCCACACAACTGAAATGGAACCAAACTGTTTTACAGTTTTCGTTGTCACAGGCGACCATGTCATCTTTGCTCTCAGGACACCGGCAAATGCACCACAGCTTTTTAACACATTTTCGCTTGCACTTCTTTGGTAATTGGCCAGTTTCCTGAGTTCTGTTGTCGTTACAGGCAGGAACAGGAATGTTAGCAAGTGTCGGCCTGTTAACTACCTTAGTGAAATGACAGCTTACAATTTCAGGGAGACTCACACATTCAACAAATTTTTTTGCCTTCTCGAGGACAGCTGCCCAAAGCTCAGGGTCCGGAGAAATACGCACAACAGCAAAGTCTTTTGTTGTCCAGACCACAAAATCACAATATTCAGCCTCTGTGACAAAAATCTGAGTTTGCACCTGTTTGTAGTAGGGGTGTTTTGGCTTCAGTCGCATCTCTCCTTCATATAACTCCAAACAGAAGTCAGAGTTTGTGCAAGCTTCAGTCACATGTTGGTCCCGGTATTTATATGAGCACTTTATCTCAATACAGCCTTTGCCACAACAGACACATTGCACAAGCCCATCAGGTGAGGCCCCAACCTCTGGAAATTTTGGGTTTATAAAAAAACCACACTGCGTAACCTTGCACCCTGAGTGATCTCTGTTACACTGCAATCTGTACATTTCACGGGCAGTGTCCTCGTTTTTTTCGCCCCATGCAATAGCACTACACATGCTTGTTGTGTTGTTAGGGTAGCACACTGCTTTTATTACTGACTGTGAAGGTTTGTCCAAGTTTGTCACATAAACTGAATGCATGTTGGATGCTGTAACCCTCCCAGCCCGATGGTGTTGCCAGGTTAAAGATCGGTTTTGCTGTCTTGTTGTCCTTTCAATGTACTCAGCCTGCTCGTTGGAAACTGAGACACTACCAGCAAGTGATTTGCAGTGCGTGCGCAAATCTGATATGTCCTTGCCATCCATTGTAGCATCCCGCAGAGAGTGAAGGGAACGTGGCACAGTGAATGGTTGCACATGGTCAACAAATTCTCCACAATATTCAGGCAAACAGGACAGCACAGCAGCTTGTGGTGTTGCCTCGTGAATTGCACTGAAAAAGGAGTCCAGCTGCTCTTTTGACACAGTCCCAGCTGCCCTTGTCCGTGTAGTCCTGATACCTGTTGATGCTACAGATCCTTCTTCCACAATTTGGTTCAGAGCTTTGCGCTTTGCTTTTGGACTTGTAAAGTCAATTTTATATCCTGGTTCTGGTTCCACTTCAGACAGATTGCCTGGAATCATCCAGTATGCAGGTCTGCCTGTCACTGTCACTGTCTCTCTGCATCTGACAACTACCTCCAACTTAAACAGCATAGCAGCGACATGTGTGCATGACTCTCCTAAGCCCGCTATACAGGTGCAATGAGCACACAATATAGCCCCAGAAGAATTTAGGATTGCCCAAGGCTTGAGTGGTGCTTCTCGCAAGCGTTGGGAGTGCATCACCTAAAAAAACACACAAAATAGAGTAAAAATTACTTGTAATACAGACTTCAGAGTAAAATGTTCTAACATCATATACAATATATTAAGATTAATGTGTTGCTTTGAGATGTAAATTCATGTTCTGACTGAGATACACAACCTCCACTTATTCTAACCTCACATATTTGTGAAAATGTATGTGTATTTGCTTGGATTTATAGTTAAAGTATGGATTACAGGTAATATACGTATATGTTTATGCAGACACACAAAACTCACATAAATTAATATGTGTGTATATACACACATACCCAACTTGTGTCTTTAAACTAGCAGTGAAGTGACAACATGTGTATAACTTTGACTAAGATGACTAAGATGTTATGTTTAGGGTGTTTTACCTTTGCTGTGACCACAGTGTTGGTGCATCCTTCAGGTTTAAATTAATATAAATCTTGCACCCAACCATTGGTGAACAGCCCATGAACCTCCAAGGACTTATAGTTCCGAAATTCGTCAAATGTGTAGGCACTGACACCATTTACAAGATAGCAAATAATGTCCATATTTGTTGTTGGTGGAAGTAGCCCTGGTTCGGACGTCCATGCCTTAGCTGCTACCTCGTATGGATCAACGTTGTTAATTGACGTTAACTTCGCCATATAACGGTCTCTGGCTTCAGCGTTGAGTTTATCTCTATACGGCTTCTTCTCATTTTTATATTTACTTTCCATTTTGCAGATGTCATCGTTCTTATCACTGTTTACCACGGACTTTGTTTACCTGAACCGGTATCTGCGTAACCCCCCAATATGGCGACCGGAAGTGCATAAGTCACGTGTCTGCAAAAGACCGATTGATGCACTATAGTAGTGATGGGTCCGATTCCAGACCGGCTCTGCTTCTTCTCTTTTTCTTTTCCTCACTCTTGGGGCGGGCGCAGCGGACTATTCAGCCAATCATGGCCGTTGTTCCGAGGCAAACGCATACACATCACTCGTAGGTAACATTTAGACATTTGTTTGCAGACACAGATGCCTTCAGGGTTCACAAAAAAACTCCGACAGACAGTTGCGAGAGGCTGATGACAACTGATTACAACCACACATTCACAGAATGGTCAAATTATTGTATATTTGGCCTTTTTTGGGATTACTGATTGTACATCGTACAGAGGGCAAAATTGTCGTACAAATACGATAATTATCGTACACCTGGCAACATTGCGGGCAGGACATGAAAGTGTGAGTGTTGGGGGGGGGGGGGGGGTAAAATGGTCCCCAGGCCTCCCCTGTTCTGGCGCCACTAGGTTGCATAAAAGTCCAGCAGGTGCTAAATAATTTAAAATAATTTATTTTAAATAAAAATTCCATGCCGATCGTTCAGCTCATCCATCAGTCAGCCACTTGTGTGTCATGTCCAATCTTATTTTGAAAAACCACAAAAGAGCGAGTCCGTGAAAGTCGAACCACGAAGTAGCGAGGGACTACTGTACATGATTTTATTTAATAGGTATTACTGGAAATAAATTTCATTTTAACTTGGAAATTTGTTTCGTAAATTTCTTTGTTGAAAATTTCCATTTTTGATTTATGACAGAAATAAAAACAAAAAACATCCAGCGGGTGAATACTTTTTATAGCTACTGTAACTAAAAGATGAATATTCATATTTTTCCTTGTTTGTTTGATGTGAACATTGTTCTGTGTGAAAATAAAAACAGTCCCAATTAAAGTAGTTAAGAGTTTATGTTTGGCTCATAATCTGGATACTGATATGGTAAATCTGTATTCTTCCCCTGCATGTCAGATAATGACAAGTCCAATGAGGACCGGCAGAAAGAAGAAGAACTCCTGCAGCAGATTCACAAGCTGGTAGAGACCAGAGACTTCCTGGTGGATGATGTTGAGTTTGAACGACTCAGGTTTGCATCTAAATTTATGGTATAACATGATGGTAAGCTAGAAAATAAGTGACATCCCCAGTAGTTCGTCAACGTATATGTATATGTATATGTATATATATATATATATATATATATATATATATATATATATACATATATATATATACGTATATATACATATATATATATATATATATATACATATATATATATATATATTCTCATTTTTGTTTACAGGGAGAAAGAAGAAGACAAAGAAATGGCAGATTTTCTGAAGTCAAGAGTGCCAAGAAATACAAAGAAGACAGGTATTAAATCATACAACCAGAAAAATAACTAATACTGTCGAGTTATAAAAGTGTTTAAAAGTTTCTTCCTTCTGAATGAAGGAATTTGGATGAATATCTTGTGGGTTCACAGTCTGGTTTACATAAAATGGTTAAAAATACTAAATTGCGCAAGATATGATATGTTTTCTTATATTTTATAAAAAACTAAATATATTATTTACACTGTTAATTGATGTGTAATTACTAAATGCTTTTGTCACTTAAAATTTAGTTGTTTTTTTCTGTACAACTTACATTTTTCACTAAATGACCTTCTGCCTGTCTGCCTTTTGAAGAGTGCAGTCAGGGAGTGAGACACCACTGTGTGCAAGGAAGGAAATTTCAAGTTAGCATTAGCAGCTGCTATACACACGGTAGCTTCTTTGCGACTCTCTCCTCTTCGTCCCGTCTGTTCTTTCTAGCAATTTCCACATTCTTCTCTCTGTCAGAGCTCTCTGGCTCAAATTGAAAATACAGGTTGAAAGACATTGTACCTGCCAGCTGGATGTAGCTAGCACTGAACATTACAGGTGATGCCAACCCTTTGGAACATGGCCATGTCTCAGTAAAACTTCTTTTAATCATAAAAATTTAACATTATACAGTTTTTTATTCACATTTTTTATAGCAGAAGCAAATTTCTTTCATCCATCCATTTGTTATCTTTTATTCGCTTCTTCCTTTTTGGATTGTGGGGGTCATTGGTGCCCATGTCCAGCAATCACTGTGCGAGAGGCGGGGGACACCCTGGACTGGTCTCCAGTCGTGTCGCTCACCGACCAGTTTTGCTTCCCCGACATGCTAATATTATTAGCATTAACCAGGCAGAAATGACAAAGTCGCACATGCGCAGTCAGGTCAGTTTTTCATGATTGGGAAAAAAATTGTAGAGGAACATATATCTGTGATATATTATCCATAAATTAAACGGATTCATTCATTTTTCTGGACTGAATAATATCGTGCATTGAAATTAAAATGTAACGTGAGACGTCAATTTTCTTTGACCCATCAAATGAATGCAGTCATTTATTAACAGAATCAAAGTTTAACATCAAACATTTACATTAATTTGGCAAATTGATTTCAACAACAACATAATTAATTAGCAAGCTTTACGATTAGGAAACCATACGGCCATGATTTCCCTCACTTCAAGCATTACAACAGACATTTCTGAAAATATCTGGATTAATTTCTGGCAAGATATAAGAGTTTAAAGATGGAAATGAAGTTTAAATGGAGAGGAAAAGATAGATGAGGGAAATGTGTCAGTATCAGAACGGCACGCTCCGTTAAGATCCCAGCTTCCTCCTCGGTACACTTAGGTGGTGTAAATCGACTCTTTACCTGTAGCAGGTGTCTCCACTGGTACGGAGTTCCATTTAACGCACCCTTTCAGCGTCTCCGTAGGAACAGCTGTGAATCGTCCGAAGTAGTGACGGTACTTGTTCGACACATGTTCACCTCCCGGTTGGACTCACATGAGTTGTAAGTCCGTCAGAGTTCCACTCAGATGTGGAAGATTGCATAATTCCCACGAGACTCGGAAGAACTCCGGATCATGTCTGGAACTCCTGTTCTCTCCAGCACTTCTTCCGTTCGGTACTGCTCTCCGAACTGAACTCGACTGCACGAACTAGGAAGTGCCGACATTTAAAGAGTTCTATTTCCGGTTCATTTGGGAAGTTCCTGATTGGTCGATCGACCAGACAGGGGTGTGTTTAAGTGATGTAAGAGGTTATTAAAAGTCAGAAAAACAGAAAAATTGTTTTGGAACGGACAGAAGATGTTTTTGAGACAGACGAGAGAAATGTTTAGGCGAGTTGGGGGAAAACAGGTGCCAGCTTCTCTATTTACGTCTGAGAGGATATAAAAACATGACAGTTCGTTCCAACAACTTGTCTTCGACCTTTGACCGACATCACAACTTGCTCATTTCAGACAGAAGATCAGAAAATGCATGAATTACTCCGTAACACATTCTAACTTGATTTCTACTTTGAATGAGGATTAAAAAATCACTAATACTGTTTCACAGTTGATTTAAAATGAGTAGTTCACTTCAACATTAAAAATGGTTTGAACTAAACACACTTTTGATTATCAAGA